AGATATCTTATTTCTTTTATATTTTAGTTTGTTGGTCCCATTAGATATCTTATTTCTTTTATATTTTAGTTTGTTGTCCCATGAGATATCTTATTTCTTTCGTATTTTAGTTTGTTGGTCCCATTAGATATCTTATTTCTTTTTTATTTTAGTTTGTTGGTCCCATTAGATATCTTATTTCTTTTATATTTTAGTTTGTTGGTACTATAAGATATCTTATTTCTTTTATATTTTAGTTTGTTGGTCCCATTAGATATCTGATTTCTTTTATATTTTAGTTTGTTAGTCTCATTAGATATCTTATTTCTTTTATATTTTAGTTTGTTTGTACTATTAGATATCTTATTTCTTTTATATTTTAGTTTGTTGGTCTCATTAGATATCTTATTTCTTTTATATTTTAGTTTGTTGGTCCCATTAGATATCTTATTTCTTTTATATTTTAGTTTGTTGTCCCATGAGATATCTTATTTCTTTCGTATTTTAGTTTGTTGGTCCCATTAGATATCTTATTTCTTTTATATTTTAGTTTGTTGGTCCCATTAGATATCTTATTTCTTTTATATTTTAGTTTGTTGGTCTCATTAGATATCTTATTTCTTTTATATTTTAGTTTTTTGGGCCCATTAGATATCGTATTTCTTTTATATTTCAGTATGTTGAAACTTGTGATGCCCCCTTCCCAACACACATGGTTTGCAAAGGTGGCAATAAAAATTAAGAAGGGAACCCCTTGGAAAGGAATCTTATGAATACCACTGAAGCGTTTAGTTATATGCAACAGCCAGCCCCTCTAGATCACAGTGAACTGTTGCATACACAAATGGTACACCGTTTATTTCCATTAATTCAAAGAATATGTTTGTATTCCACAGGGAATCTTTTAGAATCGAAAGCGTGATCAGCGTAAACGTAGATTAAGGGGCCTGTCAAAACCTCTTAGCAAAATCATTCAAAATGCTCTTTTATAAAAAAGCCAAATTTACAATAACTAGACCCAGACCCTTTTCCGTAGTCTGGTACAGGAGGGTATTGCTATTTTCTTAATACTGGGACTGTTGTTTTGTAAGTCTCTGCTACAAAAGGAACGACAGTATGTTGTATGTTGTCGGGTTTTTATACAATGTCATACATTGTAGTATAGAAGACTTCCGGCTGCAACAAGATGGCGGAGAAAAAATTCAAAAGAGCACAAAAGGAAGGAAACATGGATTTTACAAGAAAATAATTGTATGAAATAGTTCTTTCTTATGAATATATGCTTAAGAATCTGCAGAGGATCAGAATCTTTGTTTCGGATACGTAATTTTTCTCTCAACAACATTTCGTTAACAAAATCTCCATTGTCACTAAACAAAGGATAACTTCCGGCTACAACAAGATGGCGGTATAGTAATACACAATAGGAAGGAATCTCAGTGTGTAGACGCTTCAGTAAAGCAAGGGGGATAGTTAAAGATGATTATTGGAAATTGTCTTCGACGCAAGAAAATTCGAACTTTTCATTAATTTTTATTGTTTTGCGGTTCCATTCAGGATCAGAATTTATGCTGTTATCAACGTATTTCTCCTTTAAATTACAACTACAATATAGATCTACTGTTGGGCTGAATAGGAAGAAGCCATCTTGTTCGGAAACAGCCGGAAGTCTCTGTACTCAGCTCTCACCTGTGGTTCCAAGAAGCTGTAACATGCACAGCGACTACAACCCAGACAACGATTCCAGGTTGAGGGTAGCCGAAGGGCATAGAACTTTCGGAAAAAAAGGGGTTGTCCCCCATAGCATGTAAAGACTGAATCCGGCAAATTGTGCGGAAGAACCACTACTTGGTCAACGGACAAAAGGCGGAGACAGCACAGTGGTGTGAATCGACATAGAACTTTCGGAAAAAAAGGGGTTGTCCCCCATAGCATGTAAAGACTGAATCCGGCAAATTGTGCGGAAGAACCACTACTTGGTCAACGGACAAAAGGCGGAGACAGCACAGTGGTGTGAATCGTTGAAAACATGACCAGACACGTAGAACGCCATGGTCATTCACTGCACGGGTGACTGGGTGGCCGAATGGTCTAAACTGAGCAAACCTCAATTTCAGCCAAAGGCCGGTCAAGCAAAAACATCACCCCAGGTGGATGAGACTCGTTAACCTTGGTCGGCAACTCATCTAAGAGAAGGAAACTCTGAATTCAAACCCGGAGTTGGAGTCCCGTAAGGCGCATACAATGTCCATTCCTGCAACCGTACCCATCCCTGGTCGTCTTGACGTAGAGTCTAGCCACTGGATATGGTGGGCCCGGACGTGAGAGTGAGGTTGACGCTGCGCAACTCTTCTTCACTTTAAACAAAAGTCACCCGCGCAAGTCATCAGTCACCAGACGACTCGATGGTCATCGTCGATCCTCGACGGACGAACAACAACATACAATGTCATCTCTCTTCCAGGATCCGGCAACCGCCTGTTCCTATCAGTGGGTTATTTAATGATACGAACGGTTGACGAAGGCAATGCACTCTCACTACGACACAATGCAGTAGATTTCGTTGCATTTTATAGAAAATGAGAGTTAATTCTTTTTTTGTGTGGTAACAACTGAACCAACCTGGACATTTTCTCAAATTCCCCGGACCCGATGTAATCAAACCACACCCAGTTTAGCCCTAGTCTGTAGTGTTTGACATCACTGATTATTTATGACCAAAAACTGTCTTTTAAAAACTGTCACGTGAAAATTGGGTGAAACGCAAAAGATAAATCGTTTGATTTATTATAAACTTGGACCCACACACACTTTTTCTCATTATGTGGGGGGAGGGGGGGTCGCTTTTCTAACGAACGTTTCTAATTGTGTGTTAGTCATAAGGGCATTTTCTTCTTATGGAATTTTTGTAACATGATAAAGTTATTTAAGTTTATTGATGGGTGCACAAGGTTGGGTTAGGGATCGGGAGTGATAAAGGCGATGGTTTTTTTATTTTTTTTAGTTATTGTTTTTTTGTGGTGTGCTAGTTTAATACGGCGTTTTTAGTGAGTGTTCTTGTTGTGCTATGGTTTAAATAAGTTTATCGATGGGTTCTCATATTTGGGTAAGGGGGGGGGTCATAAAGGAGTGTATTTTTTTAAAATGATATATGCTAAGGGGCTGCTATTGAAGGGTCTTGTTGGTTATACGTTTATTTGTTTTGATTGGTTCTCAAGATTGGGTTAGAGTTCACTACACAGAGGGGCGGGTTGTAGCATGTTTGGTGGTTCTCATTGTCTGGGAGGTATAAAGGGGTTTTCTTCTTTTAAAATACTTATTTTGTGACAGGATAATGTTATTTAATTTTATTGAGGGATACACAAGCGTTTCTCATTGGGTAGGTTAGGAGTCAGTAGGTTAGGGGTCAGTAGGCTAGGGGTCAGTAGGCATAGAGAGTGATTGCCAGATTATCTCTATCTTGGGTTAGTGGTTATTACTCTTAGGGATGGTTCTCAAGCTTGGGTTATGGGTGTTTTTATCCTGTTAGATATTGTTATCTTTTTTAATTCATAGTACAGTGTGTTTGTCCTGTTAGATATTGTTATCTTTTTTAATTCATAGTACAGTGTGTTTGTCCTGTTAGATATTGTTATCTTTTTTAATTCATAGTACAGTGTGTTTGTCCTGTTAGATATTGTTATCTTTTTTAATTCATAGTACAGTGTGTTTGTCCTGTTAGATATTGTTATCTTTTTTAATTCATAGTACAGTGTGTTTGTCCTGTTAGATATTGTTATCTTTTTTAATTCATAGTACAGTGTGTTTGTCCTGTTAGATATTGTTATCTTTTTTAATTCATAGTACAGTGTGTTTGTCCTGTTAGATATTGTTATCTTTTTTAATTCATAGTACAGTGTGTTTGTCCTGTTAGATATTGTTATCTTTTTTAATTCATAGTACAGTGTGTTTGTCCTGTTAGATATTGTTATCTTTTTTAATTCATAGTACAGTGTGTTTGTCCTGTTAGATATTGTTATCTTTTTTAATTCATAGTACAGTGTGTTTGTCCTGTTAGATATTGTTATCTTTTTTAATTCATAGTACAGTGTGTTTGTCCTGTTAGATATTGTTATCTTTTTTAATTCATAGTACAGTGTGTTTGTCCTGTTAGATATTGTTATCTTTTTTAATTCATAGTACAGTGTGTTTGTCCTGTTAGATATTGTTATCTTTTTTAATTCATAGTACAGTGTGTTTGTCCTGTTAGATATTGTTATCTTTTTTAATTCATAGTACAGTGTGTTTGTCCTGTTAGATATTGTTATCTTTTTTAATTCATAGTACAGTGTGTTTGTCCTGTTAGATATTGTTATCTTTTTTAATTCATAGTACAGTGTGTTTGTCCTGTTAGATATTGTTATCTTTTTTAATTCATAGTNCCTGTTAGATATTGTTATCTTATTTAATTCATAGTACAGTGTGTTTGTCCTGTTAGATATTGTTATCTTATTTAATTCACAGTACAGTGTGTTTGTCCTGTTAGATATTGTTATCTTATTTAATTCACAGTACAGTGTGTTTGTCCTGTTAGATATTGTTATCTTATTTAATTCACAGTACAGTGTGTTTGTCCTGTTAGATATTGTTATCTTATTTAATTCATAGTACAGTGTGTTTGTCCTGTTAGATATTGTTATCTTATTTAATTCATAGTACAGTGTGTTTGTCCTGTTAGATATTGTTATCTTTTTTAATTCATAGTACAGTGTGTTTGTCCTGTTAGATATTGTTATCTTTTTTAATTCATAGTACAGTGTGTTTGTCCCGTCAGATCTTGTTATATTATTTGTTTCACACTGCACCCCCCTCCCAATTGTTGTTATGCAGTTGCAACAAACATTTTTTGTGGAGAAAAGCAGTTCGAAACAGGAAATGTCTTGTTATTATAGAACTTAATACAAAGGAAATATCAAGAAGAAGGAAAAAAAAATCAATTTTGAAATGGTGTTATACACATTTATTATTTTATTGAATCTTATCTGTGATGGTAGCTATGATGGTAGTTATGATGGTAGCTATGATGGCATTTAAATGAACATCTTTATTGATAAGATGGTGATGTGATGTTGTTAAAGAATAGCGCCCTCTACTCTTGGTCAAATATCGCAGACATAATTATGAAGTTACATCATGATCAATTGAAAGACATAATTATGTTGTTACATCATGATCAATGGAAAGACATAATTATGTTGTTACATCATGATCAATGGAAAGACATAATTATGTTGTTACATCATGATCAATGGAAAGACATAATTATGATGTTATATCATGATCAATGGAAAGGCATAATTCCTAGCAAACAGCAAGAGATAGGAACACTCTATTATCAGTTGTTCACTAATGTAATCAGACATAAGATAGTTTACTTATTTAATCAGACATGCTTTTTACATAACGATACATTGATATATATGATATGTTTACCTTGTATCAACAATGGTGGCTTTTCTTTTGCTAGCCCCTCACCAACATTACGCCATTTAATGGATGTTCATTGAATGCCACTAAATCCCCTAACAGGTTGGCCAATCTTTTTTTTTTCCTCGAACTTTCGCTTTCATGGTCAGGTATACTTTTACACTGGGGGAAATGTATCATGTCACACGAATTGAATTAGGATAAATGGATTGTGTTTTATTGCATGTAATGTTGTTTGATGGTGCCCTTTCTTTGTGGTGACGATGCCTTGTTTGGTGTGATGACAAAGTTCATGAATGGCTCCACGTAGCAATGCGACGACATCTCGCCCGTGGAGGGGGGGGGCAGCTTTTGGTCTGATGGCGATCCACAAGCCTTGCTTCAGTTGACGAGCACCACCAGCCAGCCTAGCTTCAGTTGACGAGCACCACCAGCCAGCCTATCAAGGACGTCAGCCAGGTCTCCTCCAGGTTGATGACCTCGTTGTTGATGATGACCGTCTGAAGGCGATGGTCCGGCTGTTGCCCGACGGCCTTGCGAATCGCCCTCTCCACGCGGATCTGTTGCTGGACCTTCATTTTAGAGTCGATGATTAGCGTATTCAAGCACGTGCACCTGGTCAACACAGCAATGACCGGAAACGGAAGTTGAGTCAAATAGAGAATACAAAGAATACATATAAATGGAGAATATATCGCATATATTAAAATAGAGAATAAAACTTATGTTATTAAAATAGAGAATAAAACTTATGTTATTAAAATAGAGAATAAAACTTATGTTATCAAAATAGAGAATAAAACGCATATATTAAAATAGAGAAAAAATCGTAAATATCAAAATATAGAATAAAACGTATATATTAAAATACAGAATAAAAAGTATATATTAAAATAGAGAACTAAATGTATATATTAAATGTAGAAGCATCACAGTAGACGGTGCATTCATTATTTAAATTTTACTGTTGTTTTCGAATAGGTTTATTCTTTAGCAGTTCCCATGTCAAAGCAGCGCTTCTCAAATGTTCAGGGTGAAGGAACACGGCTGTAACAAATTCAAATGACAGCGGGGTTCTGCTTTCAATTGCTGGATAAATGTTCTTTCTCAAAATTGTTCCATATTGACCGTCATGCCGGTCCGCGGCCCATCAGTTTGAGAAGCACTGTGACAGAACGTATGAAGATTGCATATTTACTTGGCAATGACATTGGCTATATCCTCCTCATCGTTTAAAAAAGAGAAGTCAAGGAATAAGACAAGATCGCGTAAACTTTTCTGGAAAAGAAAGGAGAATTACTATTCAAAGTGGGGTTGGGATTTAAATGTATCGTCACCTTTTATAGAGAGTGTGTTTAGGGGCATTCTCAGTAAGATAGGAACTAAATGTGTTCAAGGCCACTTAGACAATGGGGCATTATCAGTAAGATATCAACTAATTTTTTAAGGCCACTTAGACAATTGAGCACTCCAGTAAGATTTGAAATAAATGTGTTTAAGGCCTCTTGGATAATCGGGCATTCCCAGTCAGATATGAACTAAATGTTTTTAAGACCACTTGGATAATTGGGCATTCCCAGTCAGATATGAACTAAATGTGTTTAAGACCACTTGGATAATTGGGCATTCTCAGTAAGATTTGAAATAAGTGTGTTCAAGGCCACTAAGACACTGAGGTATTTTCATTAAGATTTGAACTAAATGTTTTTATCGCTACTTGGACAGTGAGATGTTTAACTAAGTGATCATCCGTTCATTTTGAACGTGTTTTTTTTAATATGTTCATTTTTCGAATGACCCATTTCTAATGTAAATAGCTTGATGATAATCGTTCCTAGTTTGAGAAGCACCGACTTAAAAAAAAAGTTAGGAAGGCAGTTTTCACCTGGAAATGTGACGCGATATGCTGGAAACAGTTCTTGGTGTTGAACGAGGTGGTGTAGTTTGCAGGGAACCAGAGGAGCATACAAAGTGGTATCGACGGGGTCAGTATGTCACACAGGGACTGGTCATGGCTTACTCCCTTGGGAATACACAGTGGCAATGGAATTCACATGTTAGTGTAGCAGTATTTGGAAGAACAATTAAGAGTCAGCACAAAATAGTGTTACAGTATTTAAAATAACCCTTAAGAGTCAGCACAAAATAGTGTTACAGTATTTAAAATAACCCTTAAGAGTCAGCACAAAACAATGTGACAGTATTTAGAATAACCCTAAGAGTCGGCACAAAACAGTGTGACAGTTTTTTTATTATGGTCAAGTGTGGATGCTAACCGCGAGTGTCCGCTTACACAAGGGACACAAGCATTGAGAAAATACAAATAAAGAACTAAACAGTCAAAAGATTTTCAAGTCAAAGAGTCAAGAAAAATGCCTTATGACGTATTAGCTGCAAACCAGACGAGTGACAGTCGCTTACAATCATACCGATTATGATGTATTAGCTGCAAAACCAGACGAGTGACAGTCGCCTACAATCATACCGATTATGATGTAATAGCTGCAAACCAGACCAGTGGCAGTCACTTACAATCATACCGATTATGATGTATTAGCTGCAAACCAGACGAGTGACAGTCGCTTACAATCACACCGATTATGATGTATTAGCTGCAAAACCAGACGAGTGACAGTCGCTTACAATAATACCGATTAAGATGTATTGGCTGCAAACCAGACGAGTGACAGTCGCTTACAATCATACCGATTAAGATGTATTGGCTGCAAACCAGACGAGTGACAGTCACTTACAATCATACCGATTAATATGTATTAACTGCAAACCAGACGAGTGACAGTCGCTTACAATCATACCGATTAAGATGTATTGGCTGCAAACCAGACGAGTGACAGTCGCTTACAATCATACCGATTAAGATGTATTAACTGCAAACCAGACGAGTGACAGTCGCTTACAATCATACCGATTAAGATGTATTAACTGCAAACCAGACGAGTGACAGTCGCTTACAATCATACCGATTAAGATGTATTAACTGCAAACCAGACGAGTGACAGTCGCTTACAATCATACCGATTAAGATGTATTAACTGCAAACCAGACGAGTGACAGTCGCTTACAATCATACCGATTAAGATGTATTAACTGCAAACCAGACGAGTGACAGTCGCTTACAATCATACCGATTAATATGTATTAACTGCAAACCAGACGAGTGACAGTCGCTTACAATCATACCGATTAAGATGTATTGGCTGCAAACCAGACGAGTGACAGTCGCTTACAATCATACCGATTAAGATGTATTGGCTGCAAACCAGGCGAGTGACAGTCGCTTACAATCATACCGATTAATATGTATTAACTGCAAACCAGACGAGTGACAGTCGCTTACAATCATACCGATTAATATGTATTAACTGCAAACCAGACGAGTGACAGTCGCTTACAATCATACCGATTAAGATGTATTGGCTTCAAACCAGACGAGTGACAGTCACTTACAATCATACCGATTAATATGTATTAAGTGCAAACCAGACGAGTGACAGTCGCTTACAATCATACCGATTAAGATGTATTGGCTGCAAACCAGACGAGTGACAGTCGCTTACAATCATACCGATTAATATGTATTAACTGCAAACCAGACGAGTGACAGTCGCTTACAATCATACCGATTAAGATGTATTGGCTGCAAACCAGACGAGTGACAGTCGCTTACAATCATACCGATTAATATGTATTAACTGCAAACCAGACGAGTGACAGTCGCTTACAATCATACCGATTAAGATGTATTGGCTGCAAACCAGACGAGTGACAGTCACTTACAATCATACCGATTAATATGTATTAACTGCAAACCAGACGAGTGACAGTCGCTTACAATCATACCGATTAAGATGTATTGGCTGCAAACCAGACGAGTGACAGTCGCTTACAATCATACCGATTAATATGTATTAACTGCAAACCAGACGAGTGACAGTCGCTTACAATCATACCGATTAAGATGTATTAACTGCAAACCAGACGAGTGACAGTCGCTTACAATCATACCGATTATGATGTATTAACTGCAAACCAGACGAGTGACAGTCGCTTACAAATCATACGCGTCAACTTATTCTTACCTTAATGACGAATGTGACTTCGAGATCCGGACATTTGAGCGTCAAGAGTTGCCACGCTTCCTCCGATGTCCGGCTGTCCGCACGTCCGTAGTAGTAGTATTCTGCGTGGATGGCGAGGTCTTTAAGCTTCCCGTGCGCGGAGAGCAGGAACAGGACGTCGTCGGACATGTAGGTGTGATTGACCCTCAGTACTGGGGTAGGATGGACGAATATGGCGTAAATTACACTCATGTACATGTCACTGACACTCAGTACTGGGGTGGGATGTACAGTGTACATTTATGTGTGACATGTAATAGAAATGAATGATTCGCACTCTTCTGTGTTCGGTGTAACAACTGACCTTTATTCTACATTAAACATCCTTTTTATACCTCTACATTCATGATCACTCATTCCACTTTTCCATGCATTTAAGTTGAACACATTCATGAATAAAAACAACTCAGCGCGTCCAGTCATACCACATAACAACAACACAGGCCAATCAGGTCACCAACTTCACTCACTACTCACAATAATAACCTTCAGTCATAGTGTCACGTGACACAAAATACCACGTTACCTGACAGTAACAAAAAGGAAGCATCAAGTTACCTGACAGTGACAAAAAGGAAGCATCAAGTTACCTGACAGTGATAAAAAGGAAGCATCAAGTTACCTGACCGTGGCAAAAAGGAAGCATCAAGTTACCTGACGGTGACAAAAAGGAGGCATCAAGTTACCTGACAGTGACAAAAAGGAAGCATCAAGTTACCTGACAGTGACAAAAAAGGAAGCATCAAGTTACCTGATACATTTACAAACTGTGAGAGCGCCATCAAGTATCTGGCATCAGTGCCAATGTCAAGGCCAAGTTCAGGGGTCATCAGTTTAAAGATCTTCAGTGAGTGGAGGGTTTCTCCACAGTTCTTGCACACGGCCAGCAGTAAACGCAAACCTGGTGGGTCAAGAGTAGATTTGAGGATTGAACCCACTTCGGGGTCAGTTCGGTTAGCGCTGAAATTCGGGTTCGGTTTGGAAACAACTTAAGTACGGGTTGGGTTGGGTTCGGTAATAAATAAACACCGTGTTTGGTTCAGAAACCACTGATGTTCGGAATTAACTAAAGTTCGGCAATAACTGAAGTTCGGCAATAACTGAAGTCATGCAACCATTTAAGTTCGAAAAAACTGAATTTCTGCAACCACTAAAGTTCGAAAAACATTGAATTTAGGCAACTACCGAATTTCGGAAACTATATTAATTCAGGCAACCTTTGAAGTTCGGGTACCACTGAAGTTCAGTTCGTTCCGTAATTATCGTTGCTTGAAAATAGTCTGGTTTTAATTTAAATAAATCATAAAATCATAAAATCATAAAATATACTGATTAAATGTTTAATAGGAAAAGCTTTAAAACACACTATAAAAAAGTAAAAATTGTTTCATGACTTATCATGGTACAGCAGGGGTCAGCGTGTTTGATTCTGGTTCGGTTCGAGTCCAATATCAAGTTCAAGAAAAACCACTGTCTCGACACCTTTACTTTGGGTCACTCAAGTACTTGTTTCATCTTCACTATGATCACCTTTTCTTAACCATTATGTTTGGTCTATAATCACCTTTGGTCGTCTGTATCGTTTTTCTATGATCACTTTTTTCCACCTATATATTTGGTCTATTCTAAGATCCCCTTCAGTCAGTGGTGGACTTGCGTGTCTAAGCGGTCCGCGACACACTTTGTTGTTAAAAAGTGACCCCTTTGCCACCTTTATGTTTAGTCTACTTTATGATCACCCATGGTCACCTTTATGTTTGGTCTACTCTATGGTCACCCATGGTCACCTTTATGTTTGGTCTACTCTATGATCACACTTGGTCACCTTTATGTTTGGTCTACTCTATGGTCACCCATGGTCACCTTTATGTTTGGTCTACTCTATGATCACCCATGGTAACCTTTATGTTTAGTCTACTTTATGATCACCCATGGTCACCTTTATGTTTGGTCTTCTCTATGATCCATTCTTGGTCACCTTTATGTTTGGTCTACTCTATGATCCCACTTGGTCACCTTTATGTTTGGTCTACTCTATGGTCACCCATGGTCACCTTTATGTTTGGTCTACTCTATGATCACCCTTGGTAACCTTTATGTTTTGTCAACTTCACTCCTTAAAATTTTACATCATAAGATCCTAGATAAAATAGCTTGTTTTTTTAAAGTTGTCAAATGTGTGACAGAGCAGAATTTTTCAAACTTTTACAGAGTAAAGTTTGCCAACTCATGACAGTGTCACTCATCTAAACCATTGTTAATTGTGGAACTATGTGACCCAGGTCTAACGAAATGGCTAACTTATAGAGATATTACATACGTATAATAGAATGACCTAGTTATAATAGAATGACCTTCTTATATGTTTTTGATAGATGTGTTCCTGAGATTGTGCAGGTTGGAATAAACGCATTTCGCGCCATCGGAACTGTCCGGACCCGGAGATCCCCACTCGGGTTTTTCCGTCAATAATCTCGTCTGCTCTCCACATGAAACAAAACAAATGTTTGAGCGATGCGGCCAGGTGGGTCAAGATCGTTCAATGGATATTTTTGTTGGTGCACCATAATGAACGTCTTTGCTGGGCACTGTTTGCTCTTGACTTGAGTGCATTGTGTGTCAAGTGTTCATTGGTGCACCATTATGAACGTCTTTTCTGGGCACTGTTTGCTCTTGACTTGGGTGCATTGTGTGTCGAATGTTCATTGGTGCACCATAATGAACGTCTTTGCTGTGCACTGTTTGCTCTTGACTTGAGTGCATTGTGTGTCGAATGTTCATTGGTGCACCATAATGAACGTCTTTGCTGGGCACTGTTTGCTCTTGACTTGGGTGCATTGTGTGTCGAATGTTCATTGGTGCACCATAATGAACGTCTTTGCTGGGCACTGTTTGCTCTTGACTTGGGTGCATTGTGTGTCGAATGTTCATTGGTGCACCATAATGAACGTCTTTGCTGGGCACTGTTTGCTCTTGACTTGGGTGCATTGTGTGTCGAATGTTCATTGGTGCACCATAATGAACGTCTTTGCTGGGCACTGTTTGCTCTTGACTTGGGTGCATTGTGTGTCGAATGTTCATTGGTGCACCATAATGAACGTCTTTGCTGGGCACTGTTTGCTCTTGACTTGGGTGCATTGTGTGTCGAATGTTCATTGGTGCACCATAATGAACGTCTTTGCTGGGCACTGTTTGCTCTTGACTTGGGTGCATTGTGTGTCGAATGTTCATTGATGCACCATAATGAACGTCTTTGCTGTGCACTGTTTGCTCTTGACCTGAGTGCATTGTGTGTCGAGTGTTCATTTATGTTGCCAACTTGACGCCATGGATAGCTAAGCTATGAGACTGTTGCGGCCTCCAATTTTTGCGGCCTTCCTCCGTTGGTCTAGTACATCCGATGGTGACTAATCGATGTCTAACGTCATGTCAGACCTGTAAGGTTAAATCTCGTCTCTCTTTTGGTCAAGTAACTCAAACTCTGAATAGTCCATTGTAAATTATGTATTTATTTCCATGTACTAAAACATCAACTTGTTACAGAACAAAGTTGCTACATAATTCATTCAGTAGAAAAATGCTATCCTCAGGCAACAAGCCCTACAGCGAATCTCTTGACTCTACTCTGGACTCTGACTCATCGACCCATCTCTCACTATCAACTAACGATCACTCGTCTCTCCTGTCAACTAAAACACTTCCCTTTTATATCTCAACAAAACACTCAGCACATACTTACGTTCCACATCACGGACTAACTTCACGCTCTGACCTCACGATCAACAACTCCCCCTACCCCACATTCACAACAATCCTGTTCACAACAGAGACTAATAAACGTCAATACTCTATTGGGCTGTGACTTAGTCTCTTAGAGCCCTGGCTACTAATTTGGCGGTGAGCCTCATCTGCTGGGCATCCCCGTATATCACATCTTCAAGGCAGGCTTCCGGGTCTCGCCCGTTTGCCCCCGTTCCCCCACTAGGACACGTGATGACCAAATGAGCCACTGTTTTGTCTGCTTCGCCACAGAATCTGCAGTTTGGTTCCCTTCGATCCTCTAGTCTGTGGAGATAGCTGCGTGTCGCGCAGTGTCCAGTCCTCATTTGGGTGATGAGGCTCTGTTCTCCTCTCTTGAGACCTCACGGTCAACAACTCCCCCTACCCCACATTCACAATAATCCAGTTCACAACAGAGACTAAATCAAACGCCCTTTACTTTGGATAATGAGTCAAAAACCATTGCACCTTGACCCCGCTCAGTAAGACCAAAATATCTTATTCTCACCTGGACTATATGAACATACCACCCGACCCTGTCCTAATACCACATGTAAGACATGTAAGACCACATATCTGACCTTGATCAACTGTCAGGCCTGCATTGCTTAAATCCAAGCTTTTCAGCATAGTTTGACCCTCCAAGAGATTGACCAGGGCGTGTAGAAAGTCGCATCCTGACCTCAGGAGGTGTGGTGTCAGACGTTGCATCTGGGTCAGCTTCAAAGTGACCAGACTGAAATTGTTAGATTGTAGCAGGATGTTCAGGAAGGTGGCCAGGTCTTTCGTGGTCAGTTTGGCTTTCCTTTCTAAATGTGAAACTGTACAGGCATGACGGCGTTAATTATGTAAAGATATCATTTTGTGTCTGGGGATTTTGGGCGTTGTGGGGTGGGGGGAGGGGGTGGGTTGGAAAAAAAACACATTAAAAATGAGTTGTATTATTTTTTAGATCACGTGATGTGAGGGACTGCCCTAGCAGGGACTTAATAGTTGGATTCAGTACCGAATAATAAAATGTAAAAAAAAATAAATAAAAAGGCAATGAAAGAGTCATTTTCGTCGTTCCGTCGGGCACACGTGAATGAGAGATGGCAGCGAGCTCTGCTTATCAGTGGCTTATGTTTTCCTTTCCTCACTAGGCTAAGGCCGTTTAGTGTGTAGAAAACGCTTTTAGAGTGTAGATTTACATAAATAAATAAATTTAATCAGTCACTCATTAGCGATATAACATAGATCACCGCGCGCAGTCAAATTGCAAAAAGAGCGCGCTAGCCGGAAGGTTGATAAACGGACCGTTTACTTTGTATTGTTTGTTATTTTACCTGATGGTGCGATGACTATAAGAGAGAAGCTCGTTATTTACAGGTTTTACTGTGCCAATAGCACTACTTATTTATATGTAGTCTTTTCAGGGGTGGGGCGGAAAATTCAAAGTCCACCCCTGTTGGCACAATGTCTCTCTACGGCACTGATATTAACCCTGGCCTTAGAATAATAATGTCACTGATTTAACATAATACTATTTTAATCACCTGAGCAGTCTGCGTTGATGTGACGCAATGAAGCTCCCATCCTGATGGCGAAGTTAAGAGCCCGCCATTCGTCCAAGCCATTGAAGAGAAAGTTGCCTCGCCTCCAATGTCCTGGTCTCGAGAATGGCTCCAGCCAAGCATGACATGTGAGAGACGCGCTGATCTTGTCGTTGTTGGACAGGTGCTGGTAGATCTCTAGAAGGACCACCTGCGGGAGCTGATGCCATTCTGGGAGCACATTTCCAATTTCTGCAGAGGTCTGGCTGGATCCGGCTAGTGTCTTAAATAAGATTATAAACATGACAACCATTCAAATAATAATTAATGGAACGAAGTTATCATGCGTTAAAATAGGACTCGAACTCCGAGAGAGGGGCAACAAACTTTCGAACATTTATTTTCAAGTGTAAACAAAATTATTTAATACTTTTCTGCCATCTGTGCGTCACCAAGAGATGATAATTTCCCTGTAGGTTTCTCTGGTCACCAAGAGATGGTAGCGTTATTTCCCAGTAGGTGTCTCTGGTCACTAAGAGATGGTAGCGTTAATTCCCTGTGTCTCTGGTCACCAAGAGATGGTAGCGGTATTTCCCCGTGTCTCTGGTCACCAAGAGATGGTAGCGTTATTTCCCCGTGTCTTTGGTCACCAAGAGATGGTAGCGTTATTTCCCCGTGTCTCTGGTCAACGAGAGATGGTAGCGTTATTTCCCCGTGTCTCTGGTCACCAAGAGATGGTAGCTTTATTTCCCCGTGTCTCTGGTCACCAAGAGATGGTAGCGTTATTTCCCCGTGTCTCTGGTCACCAAGAGATGGTAGCGTTATTTCCCCGTGTCTCTGGTCACCAAGAGATGGTAGCGTTATTTCCCCGTGTCTCTGGTCACCAAGAGATGGTAGCGTTATTTCCCCGTGTCTCTGGTCACCGGGAGATGGTAGCGTTATTTCCCCGTGTCTCTGGTCACCAAGAGATGGTAGCGTTATTTCCCCGTGTCTCTGGTCACCAAGAGATGATAGGGTTATTTCCCAGTAGGTTTCTCTGGTCACCAAGAGATGATAGGGTTATTTCCCAGTAGGTTTCTCTGGTCACCAAGAGATGATAGGGTTATTTCCCAGTAGGTTTCTCTGGTCACCAAGAGATGAGGGTGTCGTTTCTCTGGAAGATTCTCTGCTGAAAATATTAATCCTAAGGGTCGGCTTTTAAATTGAGAATCAAGATTCTCAATCAGTATGTGTCCTCTCCTGGCAACGGTGAACCCAAGGTTGATACAACATGGTACCTGGGCCGTAGCAGGCGTTAAAAAACTGACCAAAATTTCATGCCCATCACCGGATTTTAACAACGTAGCCCCTACCTTAAGGGGTGGGAGTTGTAACCGAAAGACAGTCAGTATTTTTATTCAGACTTGATCTCCCCCAGACGAGTCCCGATTCTAGGTTTACGAGAGCCGTCTAAGCACAATGTCTTGTCTGTTTGGTGATTGATTTTATTTGTATATTTCTTGCGTTATAATGTAAATGTCATGTTTTGATGTTGACACACCTACTAGAAGGGCACAGGGAGCCGGTCACCTAAACCATTAAGCTACAGTGATTGATCGGTTAATGGTTTAAATTTGGAAGCGATTTCCCACAGCTATAGAAATGTTCAAATCTTTCTTTCATTATTCCGCTTTTGCATACACTAGGTTGCCATGTCATTTGATTGGTGGACATTATTAGCCTATTTATTTCATCTCTATGTACACAACACGTTTAACCCGTCATTATGAACACTAAGGATGAATTTAATGAAGTTGACCTAATTTAGGTACCCTCTCCTTAATATAAGATTTATATTGATCCAAAAATATGGATTTAAAAAAAAATATGTATATATTCATTTACAGCACATAGGTAAATGTTATTACAAAGAAAAAAATCTACTTTAAACTAGAAGAATTTAACACAAGACAACTTAAGAATATACCAAGCACAATTTCTCGTCTATAAATAGAAATCGTGTTCCCAAAAACAGCGTGCACCCCACTTCCTGTTATGGACAACCCATCTCCTACCTCACCAGAGCTTGTTGTAACACTGCCATTGATTTTATCATGATCTCCTGAACCGTCTTCTCTTTTAAACCTTTTGATTGGACGTTCGAGGACTCGGTCGAACTTGGAGAAGCTCTCCCCCATTACAGGACGTCTGAGTCTTGAGACAAAATGTGTGCAGGTCAGTTAACATGGAATGGTGTTTAAAACTAACGGCTGGATGAAATTAAAAAGGGTCGGAAAGTGGGGGGGAGGAGATACAAAGTGAAGAACAGAGAAATGATGAACAAATTAAAGTATGATCGTTTAGAAATAGCGAGAATAAATGAAGTCGAAAAAGATCAAGAAACGCTACAGCAAAGTTACGGCTGGAATGCATCTGAATTTTTTTTTAAAAGTAATTAGTCAGGAAAGAATATCTTATTTGGGTGGGTGGAGGAGGGTCAGGGAGTAGGAAAATATATTCAACGACTAAAACATTTACAGGGCTACAAACAAATGCTGTTGGTTCCAAAGGCTGATGTTATCATGTTTAGCCAATCCGCCATCTTGGACACGAAGGAAGTCAATTCTAAACAAAAAGTGATGACGTATTACCGCAATTTAAATAATATGAACCTATTATAAACTGAGTAACTCAGCTTCGAAACGTAATTGATGAGGAATTACAAATATAGTAGGAACAGTTATAATAAATGATATGAAAAGTTCAAGCATTTTAAAAGATAAAGGCTTACATCTTTGGAAATCTAAAGTGCAGCAAATGAGTCAATATGAAAGGCTGATAAGATGAAAAAAAATTGTTTTAACATAGATAGTGACAGTCATAAGTTGTAGGTCAAACACCGATCAGATTATTGATCCCAAACCCTTTTTAGCCACCGCCACCCCTGACATTTAGATATACGCAACCAGGCAAATGACTTGCTGAGATTTTCACAGAGAATACCCGGGGTGTAGACGTTGGCCATCATCCTCTGGTAAATTTTCCTATCCAATATTGTGATGGAAGTTTGAGAATCTGTCTGTAATTGCCTTTATAATGGATCTTTATCTTGTTTCGCCAGGATCGGACTTGGACATTGGGCCACTGTTTGGATGACTTACTACAGGTGACTTTGGACCACAGGTTGGATGACTCACTACAGGTGACTTTAGACCACAGGTTGGATGACTTAATAAAGGTGACTTTGAGCCACAGGTTGGATGACTTGATACAGGTGACTTTGGGCCACAGGTTGGATGACTTAATACAAGTTTTGACCGTTGACCTCATCGGCCAATGATCTTCAAGGAAAACCGGGTAGTGTCTGTCTGAAGTCCTCGCCAGAAGCACATTCATCCAACCCACCACGCATTGACTTCTAAGGATGTCATGAAGCGTTCTCTCCATTACTTATATCCCCCAGTTGTAAACCATGGCGCACTCAAACTAGACAATCAACTGGTGAGCCATGTAGCTCTCAAACTAAACAATCAAATTATGGGCCATGTTGCACTCAAACTAAACAATCAACTTGTGCGCCATTTTGCATTCATATCAAACAATAAACTTGCACAATATGGTCAGTTTTTTTACTGTTTAGAAATGTTGCCACAACCATCTGCAACTTGTGAAATATCCTCTTCAATACCAGGCACAGAAACATGGTGAACCCCCTGTACATAAATAGGAGCCAGACAGATCAATACGCTGATCGTGGGCCCTTAAGATATACAAAAAGAAGGTGTCTCAGATAGGGATAAGTTGAGAGGCAGTTGGAAGGCTGATTGAACTGTCTAAGGCAGAGTTAGTAGTCTTTTTACTCTCCATCGAAGTTGCTGCTATGCAAGAGGAAGCTACACAATATGCGATTTTTTAAAAATTTTGTGTCTTCTGTTGCGCGATTACTCAACATATTAATCCAAAAATCTTCACAATGCCATCTTGAGGGTAAAACAACAAAAGCTGCCCAGAATCTGAACCAATGCTACCAGAGGCAGATTGACATATCGGGCAACGCCTACGGGTTGATAGCTTTTTGAGCCACGTGACGACCGTTATCTACTATGAAAAAAAAGTTATATATTGAGGAATAGTCAACGAAATTTTTTTTTGAATAAAATATAACCACATGTTAATGGGGAGAGCGTCTATACATAATTCGCCAGAATAAGTAGGGCAAACAACAAGACGACCAAGAGGACCACGCAGGCTATATATAGATGCGCCAAAAAGCAAGACGCAGGCAAACCCTCCCTTCCCTTGCCTGCCTATCGTTGGTCTCGAGACATGTGGACTGCAGTGGAGCTACCGCCCCCCTCCTGCACCACCCTCGCTTGCCAGCCAACTTACGGCGTCTGCTAAGCCGTGGGTCAGCGTGAAAGAAAAAGTGTGCCGTGAGTATCATGCAAAAAAGGGGGGTGGGGGGTGGGAGGGGTGTAGCAAAATTGGCCATTCTTAAATGTGCGTAGCTTGAGTTCACGCTTTTATCAAGTAACTTTAGTAGGTGGGAAGATCACGCATTGCTGTCGACAATGTTTGGCGGGCTACATCTAGTTAAATTAAAATGAAAGAAATATTGGAAAAAGATATGTTTAGGCTTAAAAATAAAAGACGAGACACTTAAGAGGGGGTGTCGGACAGATGCCTTCTTCAGGGGCTGTCGGACAGATGCCTTCTTCAGGGTCTGTCTGACAGATGCCTTCTTCAGGGGCTGTCGGACAGATGCCTTCTTCAGGGGCTGTCGGACAGATGCCTTCTTCAGGGGCTGTCGGACAGATGCCTTCTTCAGCAGACTTTGCAATACAATAAATAACATGTAAACGTAAATTAAAAAAATAATAAAACGTATGTTTTTTTTTAAAGATTTCGGTAAAGTCATTGACGCTTAATTTTGAGAACTGGAAGCTGCTATGTGTTATTGTTAGAAACGGAAGTTAAGTCGTTCAAAAACCAAAGAATGCGTTCCATATTACTCTGTGGTTCCCTTTGTAACGGTAAAAGAGTTTAAGTATTATTAAAGTAAAATTATAAACAGCAAAAATTTAGGATAGAAATGAACGAAAATAAAGGATCACTAATATACGAGTGTAAGATTGATTTCATATCGTGAAATGGTGTCGAAAATATGAATTAACTAAAAATGTGTTTTTATTATTCCCTCTCGTGGTTGTATTGGTGCATGCAATTAAATCCGTGATGGATCGGATGTTCCATTGTGTTGAAACTGGATGTCGTAAACACCAAACTTCACCTGACGGCGTGATATTCCCCTGACCCTGGAACCAAAGTGCCTGCTACTGCTGTAAGCATGAAATGACGGTTGAGTGACACCCATCCAGTCCAGGTGTCAAACCAATGTCTTTGTTGTTGGGTCATTGCCTTATTTACTGGTTCTGAATGCGGCCCTTACCAGCTGCTCACCTTTATTTCAGATCCCAGACTTTTGGGACATGTTATCAGAAAGGATAAAATGTCCCCCTTAAACTTTAAAATATCCTCAACCACAATGATGTCAACAACAGGGGTTCCATTGCTTTACAATGTCATATGATGGCCACAATGATATCAACAACAGGGGTTCCTTTACTTAACAATGTCATATGATGGCCACAATGATGTCAACAACAGGGGTTCCAATGCTTTACAATGTCACATGATGGCCACAATGATGTCAACAACAGAGGTTCCATTGCTTTACCATGTCATATGATGGCCACAATGATGTCAACACAGGGGTTCCATTGCTTTACAACGTCACATGATGGCCACAATGTTGTCAAAAACAGGGGTTCCATTGCTTTACAATGTCACATGATGGCCACAATGATGTCAACAAAAGGGATTCCATTGCTTTGCAATGTTACATGATGGCCACAATGATGTCAATAACATGGGTTCCATTGCTTTACAATATCATACGATGGCCACAATGATGTCAACAACAGGGGTTCCATTGCTTTACAATGTCACACGATGGCCACAATGATGTCAACAAAAGGGGTTCCTTTGCTTTACAATGCCATATGATGACCACAATGATGTCAACAACAGGGGTTCCATTGCTTTACAACGTCATATGATGGCCACAATGATGTCAACAACAGGGGTGCCATTGCTTTACAATGTCATACGATGGCCACAATGATGTCAACAAAAGGAATTCCATTGCTTTACAATGTCACATGATGGCCACAATGATGTCAATAACATGGGTTCCATTGCTTTACAATATCATACGATGGCCACAATAATGTCAACAACAGGGGTTCCATTGCTTTACAACGTCATATGATGGCCACAATGATGTCAACAACAGGGGTGCCATTGCTTTACAATGTCATACGATGGCCACAATGATGTCAACAAAAGGGATTCCATTGCTTTACAATGTCACATGATGGCCACAATGATGTCAATAACATGGGTTCCATTGCTTTACAATATCATACGATGGCCACAATGATGTCAACAACAGGGGCTCCATTGCTTTACAATGTCACACGATGGTCACAATGATGTCAACAACAGGGGTTCCTTTGCTTTATAATGTCACATGATGGCCACAATGATGTCAACAACAGGGATTCCATTGCTTTACAACGTCACATGATGGCCACAATGATGTCAACAACAGGGGTTCCATTGCTTTACAATGTCACATGATGGCCACAATGATGTCAACAACAGGGATTCCATTGCTTTACAACGTCACATGATGGCCACAATGATGTCAACAACAGGGGTTCCATTGCTATACAATGTCACACGATGGCCACAATGATGTCAACAACAGGGATTCCATTACTTTACAATGTCACATGATGGCCACAATGATGTCAACAACAGGGATTCCATTGCTTTACAACTTCACATGGTGGCCACAATGATGTCAATAACAGGGGTTCTATTGCTTTACAATATCTTACGATGGCCACAATGATGTAAACAAAAGGGGTTCCATTGCTTTACAACGTCACATGATGGCCACACGGATGTCAACAATAGAGGTTCCATTGCTTTACACTGATTTATTTGATTTAATCCCTATATATAGACAGGTATCTTTCCTTCCAGAGGGAGATATTTTATTATATTTCCCAATATAAACGAGAAGTTATATAATTGTATTCTTTATTTGTGTGTGTAGTTAATTTTTGCATTTTTTCGAGGAGTATAACTTTCCCCTTGCTGTGCTGTATGTGTTATAATGTTTCTTGTTGGTTTATGTGTTGGAATTCGTATTTTTATAGAAGTTTTTTTTACTATTTTTAAAATGACTGTAGCTAGTATCACTAGCTTTTTTTTTTTCTTTGCATGCTGTTTTTCTCAGTAGTTTGTTACATATTGCATGCCAAATCTTAAAACAGTTAACGGTACACGACACCACGATAAATATATCATTGAACCATCATCCGAGAACCTAGAGGACATCATTATACTTCTTTTTAAAATAGGAATTCTGCTGAGTTTTCGCAATAGCAGGTAGAGCGTTTCGCAAAATGCCTACCATTATTATTCTCGTAACATCGGGTCATATGTTTTTGTATAATATAATAAAAC